TCAGGGAAGGAAGCAAAATATTTTTAAAAGCAGACAGACACCGCTTTAGCTTAGTTGGAAAGCTCAAAATAAAAAGGTATGGTTGGTTGCACAAGCTAAGTCACAAAGTCATAGAAACAGTCCATTTGTTTCTTAAAACAAGGCTGTCAAGTCTGTACCAAATTCCAGCAAAGCAGGACACAAACATGGGAATTACTTTGAAAAGGAAGTTAACTAATTTTGTGGAGACAGAAAACATGCAATGGTAACAGAAACAAAAATACTGAAGCAACCTAGATACGTGCTGCATGTGGTTAACATCTTTATGGCAGGCATATTTGAGGTCACTACCAATTTCTGCAAAGATAATTTTTAAATAAATCATTACAGTAACTTTCTAAATGCTTACATTTTCATTTTAACTATTAAAAATATCTGCTAAAAGGAATAAGGTATTTCAGTATCTGTACAGTATCAAACTATTTTAGTCAGGTCCCCTTCAGATATAATTTCATTCTCTTCTAGTGTGTTTTGACTGGGTTTTTCCCGTTTTCTTTAGGGTGGTCATTCTTTAAGTTCCTCTTGACCTCTTGACATGTGAAGAGTCTGAACCTAAGTGAAACAGAGTGTAAAATCTAGCAGTAATTGTCATCTTCAGGTTTTAAAAAATTTAAATACTTCCAATGAGAGTTTTGTTTTCACATTTTATCTAGATTGTCACACTTGTTTTTTTGAGAAATGCTTTTATCATTGTTTAATCTTTTGTTTAAAAAGCTTGACTTGCACTTAGCTGTCTTCACACACCGGCTTTTGTGTCGCAGAGAAATGGACTTGCTCTTGCATACAACTAACAATGAGCATTAGTTATTTTATGCTTATTTATTATTTCATAATAATTTAAAAAATTATTTGCATTTTGTAAATTTTAATACTAAAAAACACCTAAAATGTGCAATCACTTTATGTTTTAGGAAAAAAAGGAACAACAAAGATATCCATAGGTGGATAAACGCACCCATCACCTTGAAAGGTGACTTACGGGACATCTGAGAAAAAACCTACTCTCCATCCCAGGAATAACACTGTTTCTTACTGCCAGGAACAGTCTAAAGCAGAGGAAAGACACACTGCACAGATAATTGCAGCAGATGGATTACCTGCTGTAACCAATTACTTCTTTTTCTGTGAACCACTGTAATTTTTATTACCCACAAGTTAATTTTTTCATTCCAAGAAAAGAAGAAAGTCCAGGATGAGTTATTGAAAAATTATGTGTTCAAATCAGTGTAATATTTATTTTTTTAATTGTGATTAAGTATATAGGTAGGTACAAGTAATAAGAAGGAGTTTTCATTTATTACTACTACAAATGTATAGCAATATTCATAGGTGTATGACATTTACAATATAAACTGCTTAATACAAAGCTCATACCAGTATGACCTATTTATTTTACAGCTGTTTGTAAGAAAACATTTGCTACAACTCTCATGTGATACACAATAATTAGTTGTACAACACAATGCTGGAATCAAATGACATTAACTCTTTCTGTATTATTTCTTTCATGAAGTTTATTTCAGTACGCAGTAATGACTCTCCCAAAATCTCTCCTCCAGCAGTTCTCCTTTAAAGCAAAGTCTACTAATTTCTAAGGAAACACTGTTACAACTGAACAAAACAACCCATAATTTACCAGTTGCAGCCCAGTGGGTTGTCAGTGACATTTTCCTGTCTTTTTTAAACTTCTTTTCTAAAAAAACAAACTCCTTGAACATACTCAGCTCAAAAAAAGTCTAAATAAACTTCAAATCTAAATATAATATCAACTAAATATATTTAAATAGTCTCAAGTATTTGCGTCCTGAGCAACTCTGGACACCTATAGCATATACTAGAAGAACTTCCACTTTTACAGTTTGACTTTTGTATACTCCTAGAACCACAGAATGTTCTATGGGTTGGAAGATCATCCCGTTCCGATCCCCTCTGCCACAGTCAGGGACACCTTCCACTGGATCAGGCTGCTCAGGGCCCCATTCAACCTGGCCTTGAATATTCCTAAGGATAGAGCATCCACAGCTTCCCTGGGCAGCCTGTTCCAGCGCCTCACTACCCTTTACAGTAATTTTTTTTCCCTAATATCTAATCTAAACCTCCTCTCTTTTACTCTAAACCCAGTTACCCTTGTCCCATCACTATGTGCTCTTGTAAATAGCCTTGTTCCATCATTCCTCTAAATTCCCTCCAGTTATGGAAGCTCACCATTAGGTCATCCAGAAGCCTTTTCTTTTCCAGATTGAAAAACCCCAACTCCCTCAGCTCTTCCTCATACAAGAGGTTCTCCCTCCCTCCAATCATCTCAGTGTCCCTCCTCTGTACTCACTCCAACAGGCCCTTGTCCTCCCTGTGCTGGGACCCCAGAGCTGATGCAGCCCTGCAGGTGGGGTCTGAGCAGAGCAGAGGGGCAGAATCCCCTCCCTGGCCCTGCTGCCCACCTGTGGATGCAGCCCAGGACATATTTGATCTTTCTGTGGGTGTGGGAGCACACTGACAGCTCATGCCCAGCCTCTCATCCACCAGCACCCTCAAGTCCTTCTCAGCAGGGCTGCTCTCCATCTGTTCATCCCCAGCCTGTGTTGGCACTGGAGCATGCCCAACGCAGGTGCAGAACCTTGCTCTGTCCTTTACCTGGACTTCTGTGAAGCCTTTGACATGGCTGAGATTCCCATGCACTCACTTCAAGCTTGTCCAGTCCCTCTGGATGGCATCTCGTCATTCAGATGTGTCACTGCATCCTCAGCTTGGTGTCATTTGCAAACTCTGGATGCACTTGGTGCCTTTGTCTACTCCTTAATGACGATATGAAATAACACCCATTCAAATATGGGCCCCTGAGGGACACCACTTGTCACCAATGTTTACAAGGACTCTGAATCATTGACCGCTACCCTCTGGATGCTACCATCCAACCAATTCCTAATCCACCTAACAGTTCACCTGTTGAATCCACCACTTTCCAACCTGGAGAGAAGAACATTGTGGGGGACCATGTCAAAGGCTTTACAAAAGTCCATATTAACAACATCTGTAGTACATCGCTCATCCACTAGTGTAGTTACTCTGTAACAGAAAGCCACTTGGTTGGTCATAGGGTATTTTACCATAAGAGCTTCTCTTAAATACTCCAAACCCCTCACACTCTGTGAATATTTGAAACCTACCAGTTAAGAATTAAACTTAATTACCATTCCAAAACAGATAAAAACAAGCACTCAAATTAAGCTTCTCACAACCTATTATAGTTGCACAGTACCAAATCTTTTGATAAAGGAATTAAGAACTTCCTTGAATAAAATCTGCTGTCAGAAGTAAATGAATCAAAACAACTTGTCTCAACTTTAAAGGTTCTCATAATAATGCACCAACTTGACACTACTTGTGAAGATCCTTGGTACTGCAAACTGCTCCTCCTCCCCAAACTAAATTAGAACATACAACTCGTTACCCATATTCTTCTCAGTCTCAAATATATATCTAAACACATAATACAACAATTTGTGAACAAATACAGTATATTCTGTCATTAGAGTACAAATTCATCATTTAACCTCAAAATTCCATGTTCATTTCATAACTCCATGTGCAGTGTAAGTTATACTGGTTGTGGGGGAATGTTTCACGTTCAAAGTTAATCTGCATTTTTGTTTCTTCAAAAGACAGTATTCAATGTTTCTTCAAGTCTTTCCATGGCTTCTGGGCATGCCTATATTATTAGTAGCTTGAAAACCTATCCTGCACCTTTTGGTACAGCTGTGGCACAAAAATAACACTTATGTTACATCTCCAATGAGGCTGTTCACACATTTCCTGCTTTGCTCTTCACACACAGCACATACACAGGAACAGCCATCCCCAAAAGCATCAAACCTCAGCTCAGCGTGTGCTTATATTTTCTCAGTGAGAAAATATAAGCACACAAGATGCAACATTAAAGAACTTTACAACACAGCACCACAATGCCTCTTCTCTTGGACCACTGGTTTCTCAAAAATTGGAAGAGATGAAGAATGAGCCCTGAGCAATGTGCAGCACTGGGGCCACTCACATATTCAAGTGTGCATTTCAAAACCAGAAACATACATTTCTTTCTAGCAAAACAGCCTGTCAGAATGCTACCCCTAGAAAATCAAAGCAGAACATAGCAGGCCAAAGAACCCAAATAATAACACCCACAAACTCCCCATATTCTATATCCTCCTCTGAGATATTTAATACTTCAGAACTATCCTATTATACTGTAAATACTGTGAATTAACACTTAAACCCTCTAGCTAGCATTAGCAAGAGTTCAGAGCTAAGCTGGCTCTGCAAAATGTAAAAGACATCAGCATCAGATTTCTTGATTTGGAATAATTTAAAAACACAATTACTGCTATCTTAACAGTCTTAAAAGTAAATGAAAAGCCAAGTAAATAAAATGAAAGCATAAAATTTGACACACGGAAGGATGAAAGTAACAATTTTTTGAATCCTGTGCTGTACAATGGAGATGAGACATAGTGCAAGCATAAAGCTAAACTGTAACCAGTTTAGAGCCTTCTCACAGCAATGCCCAATCTGTTATGTTCCACATATTTTTTAATGTTTCAAATGCATCCAAGTGAGCTTTTATATAAAAAAAACTCATAACTTGAGGACCAGTAAAGCCTGTGTGGTGTGTTTCCTATTAATATACTTCAGATACCACCAACAGAAAAAACTAGACATTATGAACAAAATTTAATTTCAATTATACTTTCATTAAGAACTAATATGTATCGCTATTACAGCAACATCAAAAAGAGATAGTAAAAGGTCCACTGCAGATAGTTTCTTCTCACTGGTAATAATTTTATTTTTCTAAGTCTTTGTTACTTATGTCTTCTTAGGAGAAGTAACTATATGCTATATATGCCAGGATAAACTTAAGAACTATTAATACTTATTCAACTTTAATTTATAGGTAAAGAAGTCATTACCTGCTTGTATTCACCAACGCAGTTCTGACAGCAGAATCTTTTCTGCTGACCATCAATAGTAAGGACATTGTTTCCAGCTCCTTTACTGGGCAAATACTCCCCACAATGCTCACAGCAATTCATTATTAAACCATTTGCCATCCTGTATCTATTGAAGCAATGGTCACTGCACAGCTTATGAGTCATATTTTTAAAGCTAACTTCATGACGAATCTAAAAAATAAAAATAAAAAAAGTATTCTATCACTATACAAGCACAAAGTTGCCTGAAAGTAGCAGATGAGCCAGAACTCTTACATTCAAATAACCATCTCACTATTTAAAAACTTGAAGTGACCATGACCATGAAATATACAAACAGAAAGGAATGTATGCTTCTGTTGTCTCCACCATAGTAGTAAAACACTCTCAGAGTCATCTACCCTTTAGCCTAGAAGGAAAGACCAGATGGATGGGTGTGGAAATTGCATATGAGAGCAGAATGCCAATTTATGCAATTTTATAAAACAGTCAACTTACAGCTGAAGAACCTGGCATATGATCATTGGTCAGACAATATGCTGTGCAGAACAGTTAGCCTGAACTATGCTGGGCTCATTAATCAACGTGGCACCAAGAACAAATACATACATTCATGAGAATTTAAAATCACACATATTCTACAGATATCTAAAACCATCTGCATTACCTTTTAAAACGTACAGTAAAAAATATACTGTAATACAGTGGATTTTGACATATTTTCATCTTGACATTTTTTTCATTCGTTCTCTTTTACGTGAGAGATCTGGGTTATAATTACAAGATTCTATGCCTAATAGAACACATTATTGGCAAAAGGCACTACAAGTTTCTGAAACAAGTATCAACCTCTTGGAATAATTCCTTCCTTCAGCTGCTCTTCGTGAATATTAAACTTGCATATTTTAATATCTCAAAATACTGAAGATTTTAGATTTTCTTCTTTTCAGTTTTCTTATTTCAGTATATAAGGTAATAATATGTCATTATTGAGAAAGACAAAAAACAGTAAACCAGACCTCAGTTAGTTTACCACAGATTGTGCATCTTGATTTATTCAAGGCTCCTTTTGAGGGATTCTGTTTATCTTCATAAAAGGATAAACATGATGTACTGCAAAACTCCTGGAAAGACTCACTTGAATCTACTTGAGCAACAATGGTACCTTTCATTGTTGTTATATCTCTGAAATACAAAAAAAAAGTTTAAAAAATAATGTGCTAATGTATGTATATATAAAAGAATCATTCTTCCTTTCAAGGCTTACATTTCAGAACAGTTTTTTTAGTGTACAGTTGTTAGTCACAGGATGAATACTAAATTTGATAATATTTTTACAACTACTGTAAGTCTTTACTGTGTAAACCCCTATATTTTTCTTTGGCTTTGAGTTAGGTTTTCCCATTAAATTATTACAGAACTAAAAAGTATTAATGCACCATTAGATATCATGGCAAACTCAATTTTTTTCAAAAAACTAACACATCAAATTTGAACTAGCCATTTTATAATGGCTTTTCGTTTGACACAAAAGCTATATGTAAGTTTCATACAAAAAATTCAGATTTATAATAAAAAGCGAGAAATTGTCTTTGTAGATACCTCCACCATTTTCAGTATTAATCTCAGGACAGGATGAGAGGAAGAGAAGTTGTTTTCTCATATTTCTCAAACTTATAAATGACCAAAAAGCTTAGAACTCTATCACAAACATGCCTAGAAGTTCTATCATTCAAAATTTACAAAAGTTAATTCCATCATTCCTTTTAAAAGTTCCAAAGAATCTGAACAGTTCATGCAGCTATCCATGGAATTGTACCAATTTAAAACCTTAAACCAGAAAACCAACCATCAATAAAAGTAATTTGAAATTGAACAAACCTTGTTCTAACCAAACAGACTTTCACTGTCCCAAACTAATACACACATACTTTCACTGTCCCAAACTAATACACACACCATATATTAGAAGAAGTAAGGAGAAGAAACAAAAGCCTCCTCCGTTGCCTTCTAAGCAAAAAGACCACAAAAATCTAAAAGCTATTATCGACATACAGGAAATGCTATTGGGCAGAATATATTAAATACATTATTGGGCACATCTGGATCACCAGTTGGAAAACACATACCCCACACACTCATACCTACAAGCTTTAAAACCAAGATGGGTAAAAACCACTGGGAAAATAGGGAAAAGATATATTTCCCTAGACACACGTCCTTGAAAATAAACTTGTACAGCCCCGATATCAACACTTGCAAGCTTGCCTTCTTCCATCAAAGGGAAGTCAGCAGAAGTTTGGCTTACCCTTTGGAGAACTACTAGAATTTGTGTCAGGGAGTGCTATCATTCCTGTTCTGCAGAACAAAGGCAGAGCTTCTGCCCCGCGGAGCTTGCTATTTATGTAGTTACAGAAGAGTTCAAAGGAATGCAAGAAAAGGGATTTATAGTAAAATATCTAAGAATTTCAACTTTCCATGTTGGGTTATACAGAGGAAGAGCGCCACAGAGGAACAATTTAGTGCACACATGACCTTCTGTTTTACAGTGATTGATTAAAAATTTCACAGTGGTGGAAAGCAAAGACTAACATCACCTCGAAAACTGCAAAGGTGACTTCAGAAAGATTCTCTTTAACCTCAAAACCTAGAAATAAGGTGGAGGAGGAAATAAATTTCCTCATCACTCAAAAATAAAGCCTTTTCATTTAAGACAGTTTTCTATGTAGCCTCTTGCAATACACTGCTTAAATATCTCCAAAGTGGCAAAGGAGCATGGATTTAGCCATTATTTCAGTCAGAAAACATTCATCAATCTTCATCTTTACATATCATGCAGCTAGCTGAATATGGTAGTCACCAGATTAGGTCTTTAAAAAATTAGTAGTGTATATAAACACCTAACAAGCCAATAGAAAGAACAAGCATTACTTTTAACTAGCCCTGTAGAAATAAGGGTTCAGAGAATTTGAGCTTTTACACAGATTTTTTAAAAAGCTAAACTATCTTACATTTTCTAGATTTTCAGGGTACCAAGGTATGAATACACAGGATAAAAATGTCTTCTGTAGCTTATTTCTACTGAGTGCCAAGGAGAAAAAATACCAATAGCTTGCATCCGAATACTAGCCATTAATCCAGCACACTGGACAGTAATGTAAAAGGGTTTTTTTGCAGTTTAAATCTTTGATTGGGCAAAGACTACGTGCTCTGGAGCATACACTGACAAAGGCAGTCTTCATTGCAAGTCTTCTTTAGTTCAGCAAAAATTTATCCTTTAATCAGTGTCACTGCATCCTGTACTAGACTGAGAAAATGAAAAAGTGCAAAAAGTTCAGTAAACAGTACACTGAAAGTAAAAGATAGTACAGCCAGTCTGTACACTTAACACTATAAGAATACAATTAAGGAAGACTTCTCTTTGGCAATTTCAAGTCTGCAAATAACGAAAAACTCCAAGTCAAATCGAATCACTAATTTAAAATAAGCCACTTCTAGCTATGCTTGTTACTCCCTCTGTACCACCCACTTAAGGTATCTTCAGCTACAAAACTGCCAGCTGCTCCACTTATGGGGAAAATCTAAGGCTCTTCCTATCCCCCTATGACCAAGAGTGGAAGAACTCCCAAGTTTCTTCCAGCTTCTTGCAAGTATGACTTCGCCATCCTTTTAAAGCCTCTTGATTTTACAGCTTCATCTATCAAAATGAGTGCTTTCTACACAACAAATGGTCCACTTTTTTTCATAAAGGACTTCATATCAAGTCCGTTGTGACAAGGACTACTTGTCACAAAGTATGGCACAACTTGGACACGTTATCTTAAAAAAAAAAAAAAAAATCACCTATTTTTAGTGTATTGGCTTTCAGCAATAAAACAATATCCCAAACTCTGAATTCAAAAGCTGGTATTATTTTGTTAGACACAGAGAATTCAACATTTCCAAAGACTAAGCAACACTACATAAAGAACTTATATAATCAAATTTTATATCCTTAATAGAACAATTTTCATGCACACATAAGAATCTTAATAATACTGAATTTAGGTGCTAGAATGAAACAAAACAAAAAACTCACTTTCTGCACATGACACAAAGTTTCTTTGGAGTGGGCTTGTGTGAAAATGATGAGAGGCAGGTAGTGGAGCAGAAAAGGTGAGCTGATCCTTTCCTCTGATATGCAGTCTGTCCCTTTTGTAAAGGCTTTTTGCAGTTCGCACATGTGACTTTAACCTGCTTAGAAGGCTGTTGCTGGGGAGAAGGCTGGAAAATTTGCTTAGGAAGGGATGCTACAGGTGACAAGGAATCCACACCTGGTTGCTTCTGATTCCTAGGAAAGGAAGCTGATTGGGATATCCAAGAATCTTCAAGACAAAAAACGCAAACATAAAAGTAAATAAAGAGACTTAAGTATGTACAGAATAGTATTCACAGATGTATGATCATAAAATCATTTTTCTGTGGCAGCAACCACAGAAGAAAGGTATTTTAATTTCAGGTTTAATGTAAAAAATCCTGTTTGATGGTACCACTCTCCATTGCTACAAAGCTTCAGAACATGAAGAAGTTTCAGGATGCTCCCATCCTACATCTAGTGACATCTCTGCAAAGTTGGATCTGAAATTTTCATTAGTTATTTTGTTTCAAAGCTTTAACAAGCATAATGCCTCCAGCCTAGGTGATAAACGCTAGAACTGGCTCCTAGTTCAGCCTGAGCCCAAAGAATTATATGTATAGCAGTGAACTTGCAAAGTCATGAGAGATATGACTTCCTCAGTAGAAATCAATGAACCTAGAAAATAATATTTTGTTAAGTTCTGGCAGTACACAGATCCATGTCCCCATGTTTCAGACTCCACTAGTTTTCTATCTGTATTTTTGGAAAATAAACTACCATGGAACAAAGTCATCTTTGCCCAATCTTTTGTAGCATAACCTGCTATATGATAACTCACATAAGAAGAATGTAAGCAAAACAATTTTTTCCTGAAAGAAATACATCTACAAAGTTCATATGTCAAATTACATGCTCTGTATCTTGGTATGGAGCAGAAGATACAGGCTTTTTGGGGAAAAGAAATCCCCTAATAAAATGTAATTTCTATGCTTTTCTCTGGAATCTGAGCTCTTATTTAAAGTGATTATCATCAGAATTTAGAAATGTTTACCTTCTGAGGACTGCCACTAATAATACATGTCTTTAGCATGAATTAAAACTGAACTAACTTATTTTACAATATAAAAAAACATTTGCACAAATTTTCAATTGTGCACCAGTTATACCAAATACTGTGACAGCACTTGGGACTTACCTAGCCTGGAATGTCTTACTGGAGTGATTCAGAGTATTTCTCGAGTGTTAATACAACTAATACCCAAATATAAGACAGATGATTTTAAATTCTATTATTTCAGATAACAAAAACATTAACCGACAGGCATGAGCAACTACCCCTACCTTTTTCTTAAGAGACATTATTTTAGCCCATTATCGTTCAATAAATAATAGGAACCCTTTCCTCTTATTTTCTGCATTTCTGTCTTTCCCCAAAGGATTCTATTAACAACATATTTTGATGCATAGCTTTAAAATCCATTTAGGCACAAGGATCCAAGAACACTTGTTAGTGCAAGAAACAACATACATTCCTTAGCAAGTAAAAGATTGTTTTCCGGTGTGACTTTTTAGCTGTCAAGGACATCCTACTACTCAGGCATTTAAGACAAACTAGAAATTTACCTGTTGTAGTGCTTGAGAGTAAACAGAAGAGCTGGAATAAAAAGGTGAAGGGAAAAGGACACAAAACATTTGTCTTAAAAGCATTAAAGACGTTAACCTTTGAAGGCATGAATACCCTTACTGATAAACTAAGACAAACTACCAGAGTGCTTAGAATAAAATTAAGTGCCCTCTTCAAACTTTTCTCTACTTCTACTACTTCAAATATACTAATATCCTGGTAGAGCACCTTAACACCTCAAAACATTCTGAGATTCTCCTCTTTCCTCTTGGATATCAAGTGAAAGCACATTGCCTCTCTTACCAGGAATGTACAGCATGTGCAACAGAGCTACATCTGCTTGTAATTCCAGTAGCGCTCAACTGCCAGTCATGAAAACTTGAGTTTGCTACTCATTTCAGTTTGAAACTTTCAGCATGACTAATACCAAATTAAGGTAGGTAATAGTATCTCTAAGGTTATTTCAATTATTCCTTATTTTCTTAAGGCCTCAGATAGCCGCCCTCAATGTTTTGTTGCATTTCTCCTTCCATAAATATGCAAAAACATCTGAGGATCTTGATTTTTTTTTTCCTTTTACTTTTTCCATACCCCATCTTCATAGATACCCATTTTTATATTAAGCCTTTTCTTCACATCTCACTTCTCAGCCATGTTACCTCTTTTGTTTAAAGTCCTCTACAATGTACCTGTAAAATCCAGTTTTCATGTCCTTGAACTGAGGTGTATCACACTTCCTTAGTTAATTCCTGGTGAGTTTTCATACCTCACTGCCTTATGTCTTCACCCTTCAGGTTCCTACTTGTAATTCTGTAATGGGCATGTTTATGAGACTGTACAGTGTCATGTTTGACTACTTCTTGCTGCTGTGGCTTTTCAGGTTGCTCCTCTTCTTTCTCACTCATTCCTGCTCCAAAGTGCTATAAAATCATCCTTTCCTGTGATTTATATCATTTATTTGTCAAGTCATCTTACAAAAATTAAATATTTTTTTTAATATGAAAAAAATGTGTCAGTCCAACCTGGGGCAGAGGTGGGAAAGAAGACAGTACTGAAGTTTTACACAGGTACGCAGCTTTGAAACACACTGAGCTACATACAGCTGCATTAAAACCTGGTTCAGATCAGGGCAGTTGTAAACTGCATCCTCAATTTACTATGTGTTGACTCTTTCTCTGGAGCATTTCTGAAACTTCAAAACTAGATTCCATTGAGAGAAATAAAACCTAAGTTCCACTCCAAAGCATGTCTACATGGACCTCATCTACCTGGACCACTCCCAAGACCTTTGATAGGGTCTTCCCACAATGTTCCAGCTGCTGAATTGCAGACATAAGTATCTGATGGATAAGGAATTGGCTGGATGACTGCACCCCAAGAATTACAGTTCATGGCTCAATGTCCAAGCGGAAACCAGTAACAAGCGGTGTCCCTCGAGGGTCTGTACTGGGACTGATATTATTTAGTATTTTTTCAACAACACAGAGAATGAGATGAGGCAGACTCTCAACAAGTTTACTGGGAACACCAATCTGGGTGGTGCAATTGATGAACCAGATGCAACAGTATGTCATCCACAGGGATCTTGACAGCCTGGATGAATGAGCCCATGGAAAACTCAGAGCCCAACAAGACCAAGTACAAGGTCAGTCAGGGCAATCCTCAATATCAATGCAAACTGGGGGCTGAATGGATTGAGGGCAGCCCTGTGGAGAAGGACTGTGGGGGACTGGTAGATGAAAAATTGGACATGAGCCAGCAACCTGTGCCTACAGACCAAAAAAAATCACTCGTATCCTGGTCTGTGGTGATTCTGCTCCTCTGCTCTGCTGAGACCCCAACTGTAATATTGCATTTAGCTCTGAGGTCCCTTGTACAAGATAGAAATAGGCCTGTTAAAGCAAGCAAAGAAGAGGGTTACAAAAAGTGACAGAAGGCTTGAACACCTCTCCTGTGAAGAAAAGCAAAGAGTTGGGAGTAGCTCTGTCTGAAGAAGAGAAGGCTGGGGAGACCATATTGCAATCTTTCAACATATAAAGGGGGGTTACAGAAAGAAATGCAGTGAGATTTGTTAACAAGACCTGTAGTAAGAGGACAAGAAGCAATACCTTTAAATTGAAAAAGGGTAGGTTTATATTGGACATAAGGTATAATTCTTTCACAATGAAGGTGGCAAGACACAGGAGCAGGTTACCCAGAGAAGCTATGGATGCCCCTTGCCTGAGTGTTCCAGGTCAGTTTGGATGGGGCTTTGTGCAACCTCATCCAGTGAAAGATGTCCCTACCACGGTAGGGTGGTTGGGTGAGGTGATCTTTAAATGTCCTTTCCAATCCAAACCATTCTATCATAGGCACTCCAGTGCTTACTGGGACATCAGACTCTAAATCAATGGTAGCACAGAAGTGTCTCTGTTATGCATCTACTACTTCATATAGAGAAGGGGTACCTACTCAAGGTAAACAGACTATCACTGACCCAGAAGAAATCTTCAAAAACATATATATAATCACAGGATCATTTAGATTGGAGAAAATGTTCAAGATCATCAAATCCAACCATTAACCCAGCACTCCCACTAAACCATGTCCCTGAGTGCTACATCTACACCCTTTTTAAGTATCTCCAGGGTTGGAGATCACTTTCTTGGGCTGCCTGTTCCAATACTTAATAATCCTTTTGGTGAAGACGTATTTTCTAATGTATTATGCCACTGAGTATATTTTATTCTAGTCACAAATAAGGTAGTGATGGGCATGAAGGGAATCAAGATCTTTCATACATATTATGCTAAAAGACTAAGCACTGTCACTGCCAAAAATACTTCAATCAAAAATTCTATAATCAATTTATTTCACTATTTATTTCTAGCTTTTAAGGAAAAATTCAAAATTGCAACTTACCAGGATTATGATGAGTCACAGATTCTCCATTTTGAAATACATCTCCAGCCACGTTCATTCTACCAGGGTTGAAAGGTCCTACACCAGTCTTGGTCTGTGAAGTCAAAGATGGGGTGTATGTTTGCAAATTAACACCAAAATTATGTGACTGCAGTCCGTTAGATACATCTCCCAAGCTGGCATTCTGCAGTGACGTTACATGTGTAATCATTAGGTTCATGTCACACCCATCACCATCACTTTCTAAATGACCAACACTGACAGAGCTCATAGCATCTGTTTCTAATGTAGTAACATTAGCAATCTGAATTTCTGAGTCTGGTTCTGTGGTTATACCACTATTACCTATTCCTGAATTTACCTTACTTCTTGAAAAACTGGAAGGTGAGAATTCCATTTCGTTGGTTCTATTTTTACACTCTGGAAGTCTTCGTTCATTAAAACTGGAAGCATTCTTCTCTTGTCCTTGATTTGTTTCAATGTCTTCTTCATCATCAATAATAATAGTTTCACTTATACTCCCCTTTCGAGAATGTAAGTCTTTTGGAGAAGGAAGCATTTTGCAATCATTTCCTTTAAGTTCTTCACTTTTAGATGATGTAAATGCAGCATTCCTTTGGTCTGCTACCAGTGATGTAGAATTTTGCGGAGGTTGTATAGGTTCGATAAAAACTACATCGTCATCATCTTCTATAGGTGAGTTTTGGAATTTATTAGGTCTAGAAACCAAAGAACTTGGTGGCCCTCCAAATGTATTTCCTACATTTGCAAGACCCGCTGCCATGGTGGTATTCCCTAGTACACTAGGAGTATTTTCAGACAAATCTAATCCTCCCAGAGGACTCGAGTCCATTCCAGATCTGCTGTTTGAAATAAAACAAAGCAAGAAAGGAAGACATCCAACTTCAGAGTAAGACACTACTTTCCAGTAACAGTTCTTAAAAATAACTACTGAATTAATAGTTCCAGATTTTATTTTCTTCCTGAGATAACAGGAAGGAAAATTAAGTTTTTCTATGCTTTTCTTTGAATGTCTTAATATCCATTTACTTTCTAATTCTCTACTAGCAAAAAATATGCAATCTCTACACATCACAATGTTTTATCAATACATTTACACAGAGGAAACAGAATTTTCAGTGCTATTTATTACACAATCCTCATCTCTCAGTCCCTTTCCCACCCCACATATGCAAGCAATTATCTTCTAGCACCGCTTTTGCTAGACTGCAAAGCAAGTCCAACAGTTAGGCACACAGAATGAAAAACTGAATTCCTATCAAATCTTGGCCCTATTAGGAATGTTAACAGCTTTGAAATTCAACTGATCTTCCCCCAACTCCACACTGCCAAAGCTCCTTAGATAGCCACAAGATAACTGGAACAAAGAAGTAAGGAAGAGATATATAAGAAACACTTGCACATGACAGAGATAGATACATTATTGAGCAGCAGAAAGTGGACAGCAACCTCTCATTTGTAGCCACTACAGACTGGCAGCTCATTTGAAGTCCTGACTTACTACCTCATGCTCCTGCAACTTTCAGTGACTTCATCTTATTTCTTTTAAGAACAAGCAGTGTTTATTCAGGCTACTTCCCAACAGCTACTTTGCCTGGGGAGATCTGCTTGCTTTTAGTAATTGTTCAGTTTGAGGAATCTGTTCTTCATAACTGTCAATTCAACCATGAATTAAAAATTACAAAAGTCAACCTGGATATAATCAAAGCTCTAAGATGGCTCTAAAAACATCCGTACTAAAGATCAGTAAGTTAAACTGATCTTGATATAATACTACATGAAAAATATGCACATAATTATAATTTGGGTATGTCTTGGAGTATATGCTGATCTGTAACACCACTGAGTTTGTGTGGAAGGCTAGAAGTGGCTATCTGTGCTTTTTTATAAAACCTTTGTATAGGAAGGTATATACAAGAAGTAGAAATATCCTGCTCATCTATACTTACCCATCCAGAAATCCACTGCAATCTGTTTACCTTAATAAGTTGCTCCAAGCACTTTTATTTTCTTTCCTGTGGGAAAACTGCTCTTGTACCAACTTGCTGCCTTTCACAAAAGTACCGTGGTCTGAAACAGGGTTAAAACAAACATTAGCTACCCAAAACGATTTCCTCACCTGAAGCATCATCTGCCAGCTATGTTCCTCAAAAAGACTTACTTCTAAATTTACAGTTTAAGTTCAAACCTGACTTGTAGCACTATGATCCTACAGTAAGTGCATTCAATCCCTGCTGGGAATTAAGCAGCAACAGAACTGTTTGAGATCTTCTACTTTGTCACATCACATTTCCAGAAGGCTTTATAGTGGGGAAAAAATGCCATGTTTCATAAGAGACAGACATATATAACTGCAACTGAGTAACCAAACATTAGAACCAAGAAGTATATCTGTAATAGAACACTAACAAAAGAAATTATTCAAGTAAACTAAGCAATTGAGAAAAAAATCTTAGCAGCTACATTTCCTTTGTTTTCATCAGGTCAACCTCCTTGTTGCCTGTAGCAGAATACACTTACACTATGCTAAAATTAAAATATAAAACAAAAACTACAGGACATAAAATCAGGCCTACAACGCAATATAAACCTTACACTGCTAATATTTTTCAACTTGTATATATACACTGCAGTGATACTTAGCACAGATTCAGGCATCCATAGTCTATATTAACACATGTGAACGCTCACAGGAGACTGAAAATGTTCAAAGTTCAAGCATCTATTTATTCTCCAGGCTTTATAACACTCACTAGGTTTTCCAGACTTGGCAGCATTTTTAAAAGAGAGTATCAACTTGTGTAGTTATCTACTGTTTGAGGACAGCCTTTAAAACCCCCAGACAGTAAAGTTGCCCAGAGGAATAAAGCTCAAATATTCTTCTATGCATTTACACCATTCAAGCCCTGCTGCCATAAACTGAGAAAGAGCAGAGAGGGCAGGACAAGGACCAAACAGTAAAGCTGTGAACCAGATTAATCCTAGAAGACAGGCAAGCGACCACCTTTTAGTTCCTTCCTATCTTAGCCTTTCAGACAAATGCCATTATGTAATAACATTTGAACCACAGCAATGGGAACACTGAATTGGAATGAAAGACGGTTTCTTACCAAAAAAAATTGTATTATCAATGTAGTTGGCAAGTACCGCCCTGGAAATCAGTCAGTTACACTGAAGGTTAATTTAATCCAATATTCTCTTTCACTTTCACTATTTCCTCTAGGGCTGAATAACTTAAGATTTTTCTGCATCTCAGATTTTCCTGAAAATAATTAATTTAATTTTTAAACTTTCACAGGTTTATTCTATATATTTTCTTTCTCTATAAGAACAAAAGCATCACAAGCACACAAACCTTTTAATAAAGTTTAAATATACTTGAACAGATGTGAGCAGAGAAAAAATGAGACTATGCCAAGACTACATTCCAGGCCTGACTCAAAACCTTTATGATTCCTATTTTCACAACTTCTTACCAGAAAGACAGACTTGGGCTGCATTGCAATACATGCATATAACATGTAGCAAAGTTAAGACTCAAAACACGTATCTTCTTGCCTGTATCTATTTACTTTTTCCACAAAGCTCTTAGGTTTTAATGAGCTGTACTGTTAAGTATTAAAAAAGTAAAAATTTGTATTTAATTACTAGTGCAAAGTCATAAGCAAAATCTGCATATAGCTCCCTGCAAATAGCTCCTACCTCTCAACAACAAAATTACCCATAAAATGTGCAAAATGAGATAGCTTGTTTTCTAAAAGTCGGAACAGCAAGGAGAAACATAAAAACCATGTAGGCAATGTCACAGTCAGTATTTCTAAATTTAAAACTACCCAAAAAAGTGACTTAGCAGGGAAAAAAAAAAAAAACACCAAAAAATGTTTAGAATGGAAAACTAGAAAAAAACTCACACCTCAAAACTGGCAACAGCAAAAGATGATTTACAATATAAATACAATTGTTAGAAACCCGTGAGATTGATTAGACCGATGACTGGATGAATTGCTGAGATCTGGGGGGGAAAACTAAACTGAAACAGAAAAAACCCCAACCAACTAACAAAACAAATGCCCAACTCAACAACAAAACCAAATAATAATAAAAAAATGCAACAAACACCTCAAACAAAAAATCCCAACCAACCAACTACAACAAGAAAACAACCCACCAAAACAGTGAGACCTAGTTTGCAGTAAATTCAAGTTCACTACTGCTGAAGAACAAGCTCAATGCTTTGTGGTGGTACACAAACACCAAAATCACATCTGGACAGAAACAGAAGCACTACCAATATTCAACAGCCCTTCCTGAACCAGGCCTTGTGGGTTCCTCTTAATTTAAACTACATCACTCACCTATTAAAAGTCCTCACGCTGAAATAAATTACGATCCCATCGCTTTGTTCAAAGCTTAATTGCTGGAAGAAATAAGAGACAAAATGCAGGTGCTTCTTTAGAATGATGACAACTACTACAGCTCTTAAGACAGCTAAGTAATACTTGTAGGGTCAACTCCACTGATGAATGATAAGAGAGTTAAAGTTATAATGAATTGCAGAAACCCAGATGAGGTGTATGAGTACCTCAAAAAAAATCAACTTTGCTTTAACAAAAGCAGAATTTGGAATTTAAATGCCCTTACCAAGTGCCATTAATAACATGTGAAATGAAGGCAACAGAAGATTCAAGTCACAGTTATATACACTTGGAGCAAAAACACAAAAATCAAAAGGAGTCACTAAAATCTGGCTAAAACTGCAGTTCCACCAAAACAGGACATTGGAAACAGACATCCAAAGTAGGACCAGCATGTACAGATGTTTCCCTACCAGTGCTATAAGCCCAAATACAAAAAGGAAAAACTTGAAAGACTACTTTAGAAATAATGCATAACTGAAACATCTTCAAACGTGGACAAATAAAATTTAGGAGACAGTATCCTAAGACACAAATATAGGAACAAAAAGAAAGGGACTTATTTGCCTCAGCGAAAGAGTATTACTTTCTGCTAGGAAAGCACAGTATCATAACTAAATTATTTACCTCGAGAGGTACTGAGCTACTTTTAAATTCCACATCCCAAGCAGAAGAAACAGCCCATTAATGCTATACTACCAATCACTTCCACTCAACCAGTGACACCATAGGTGAGATAATGAGCATGAGACTGCAAAGTAGTCTCATTCCCATTATCTCACTATGGTGAGATAACTACTTACCATAACTACTTAACTACTGTTTAACTACTGTTTTAACTACTTTTAACTACTGTTGTGCAAACTGGCGGGGGAGGGGGGGAGTAAAATCAGCCCACCACTGAATGATGGGGAAAATTTTTATAACACAGCCAACTTCAACCACCTAGAGAACTCTGAGCCATGCAACATAGTTCAAGTATAATTATCCAGACAGCACTCCAGAAAAGCATATTTAAATTCCCAAGGGAATAAAAAAATAAAAATACAAAAAACTTCATTACTTCAACATCTGGCTTCAGAAAGAGCAACCTCAGTGGGAGGAAAAGAAATGGACCAGCTAGAACAAAAAGCTTGAAAGCCATTTATAAAACTCACTATACTATGCATACAACCAGCCCAAAAGGACTCCAAAAACCTAACAGAGACTACCACCAGAAAGCCTCTGACCAACAAAAGTGCTGGACTCATACTGGGGGAATATTTTATATACATTTCATACACCTTTTGGATAGAAACAGGCTACTGCCCTAGGTCAGAGCAACTGTCTAAAATCTCAATTTCTGTCAATTTTACAATCAGTTAAATTTTCCTGAAGTAAAAGAGCATCCATGAAGCCTGAACCAGAAAACACAGAATAAATTCTCTGCATGCATGTTCAGTAAGGAAAACATCAGGGAAGATCATATCTAAGCTCTCTTTCTACAGGTCAGGTCAGAGGAAAAATGTTGCATCGAAGTGCTAACACAAGAGGATTTTATAACAAATCACTAGGGCCTTGTGGAAGTCACTTAAGATTTCTAAAGGCAGTTAGCAATTTTTTATTTCAGTATCTGCAACAAATTACTTAAGCAGCAGGCAAGAACAATTACTCAGACTACAGTCCTATCATGTCACTAAATAAACTGATAGAAACTACAGTTGAATAAACAGATAAAAAAAAAAACATAGGGGAGGGGAGCAACACAAATTTTACAATGAAGAGGTAATATCTCACAGGACTACTGCCAAAACCATTTGAAGGGTTCACATACTTTTAGACCAACTGTGATTAAACAGGTATATCCCACTAAAGTCTTGCAAAAGGCATTCAAACACTGTACTCAGTGAAGACTGCTGTGTAAATTATCTGAAACAAAGATTTTGAGAAGATGTTCTCTCGGGGATTTGTAATTATTTAAAGAGAAAAATATCATGTGTTGTTTGTTGTTGCCATAATAAAGACAAGTTACCCCAGGGGTTCCAAAATAAAAAGACACAGATCAACACATATAAGTCGGCCAAAGAGACAGTGACTCCCAAAATGAGTGCTTCCTAATCATATAAACTTATTCACAGCAGCTGAAAACACAAACTCATTGTAAAGCAGTGTGGCAGGAAAAAACACTAGTGATAAATGCACGGTAATGAACTGGGGGCAGAGGGAAAAATACACATAAATTATGATCCCAGTTGCAACTCTCTCACTCTTACAAATCAAAACTACTCAATCATCAACAACCAAAGGAAAAAAAAAAAAGAATCAAATAAAACAAAACACATTTGCTACTACAAGAAAAACATACTTCACCAGCATCTTGCTTATCATGAGATGTTCAGATCACTCACTTTCCAGAGAAAGGGAAAAACAGATGAGTTACATGAACAATTTATACTCGTGGAAAACACTTCTCTTTGAAATGGAAACAACTCAAGGAAGATCCTAAATCTGAAAGAATAAAAAAAATACAGATGGTAAGAGGGTAAGAGTTGCCCTGTGTTTTGCAAGAACAAAAAGGTGCCAAATTAAATAACTAAGAAGCTTTAATAATCTATTGTGCATGAAAACATTTTGTTAATTGGGAGAATCACTGCTGTAGAAGGCTACAGAGGTTAGAAATGCAACCAGCTCAAACAGGTATTGGGCAAACAATTTATTGGAATAAATTCATTTATGACTTAAACACAGTGGTTCAACGGAAAGTACAAAATTCTTGGCCAGTCAGCTGAAAACCAGAATAAATCTGCTGCAAAATCAGGCTTTAACTGAAAAGCTTCTATTCCTTGACATCCCTGTTGCAAGCAAGTCACCCAATTGTCAATCTGTCTAGTACAGCAATTACCCAACTTAGAAGAGTAATAATAATTTTCTTACATACAAAAGAACTATCACTACTAGCCTCACAGAAACTCTACCCATTTACCCAAAAAATCTAAATTTTAGCCTATGGCGCTCAAGCTGACTTCAGCTGAGGGATGTGTGTCAACATTTTTGTACAAGGGCTAGAGACTTACTGAACATGTCCTGTGTTCTGTGAGGCTTTTCAGTTCTAAGGGTCACTTCCTGACCCTGACATTCATTTGACCATAATATCAATTAATTCCTTTATTCAGCTACTTTCTAAAGTTCCTCTCCTTATTACAGAAAATCACTTATCACTTGACTTTCCTTGTCTGATGATCACAAGCTCAGTACAGACTATCTGCAAAGCAGCTATCAAGAAGCTCTGTAGCTTAATGTCACACTCATTCCCTACACAGCTAGAGGCAACCCACATACCACAGCTTTCTCGGGGTATGAACCACCAACCCAGTGGCTGAATGTATGCCACAGTTCACCCCGAAAACAAACTAAATCACTCCAATTAAAATCACCTGAAAGTATCACTTTTTCTCTGCAATTGAAGTAACCTAGTAACTCAACTATCGCCACATATAAGAAGTGAAAACTGCTAGAAATACACAAGTAGCCCAGAAGTCTTAAAAGGTTGTAATCTAAGCCAGCTTCAAACTGAATCTGCATGCTACTACTACGGTCTCAATTTGGAAATAGTAAATTATATATACTGTGTATGGAGAGACTCCTACTGGTGTGAATATAACTCCAAGTTAGATACAAAGCAGTTGCAGGGCCATTCTGAGTCACCAGATATAAAACACTTACAACACAGGCAACCACATAAACTGTTTTGGTTTGTGGTTTTTTCCTCCTTATATCCTTCCTGAGGGGTATTCAGCCATCAGCCTTAGCTTTTTATGTTCAGATAAGCCTTGGATACCTGGTAGTGCCGATTTACTGTTACATCTTTCACAAAAATTTTAACACTTCTGAAGGTCTGCCTAGTTACCAGGTCCACAGCCACAGTCTCATTGCTATGCTATCATGTCACACAGCTGTTTCTGCCACCACACACATAACCAGACAAAAGAGACTTTCCTGCTGGAATCCTTTCCAGCCAAATCAGTTCCCCAAATGAACAATTTCTGTGCAAGAACACTACAGCTGTGCCTGAACATATCAGTGTTGGTGCCACAGCTCTGAACTTCAGCACAAAGATCATTTCAGCAGACAGGATAGTAATGACAAGATGATGGCCACAGACAAAAATGCTCTACCCTGACAGCAACTACTACGTAAAACAGCCCAACATGCATGTGCCCACTGACAACATAGTAAGCAGCACCAGGCTGAATATTAAAACAGGTCAGACTGAATTTTACAACATGTATATCTGCTGGCCACACTGAGTTGTGTATTTGAAGCAAGCAAGGCTTTAAGCAAGCCTCAGATATTACATTAATGCCACAATGACTCAACTATTTCATCTGCCAGATTCACACACAAATCATGGTAATGAGCTTAACAGGAATACTTGTATATTTTGGGCTAACCTCAAGTGCCAACACTTCATTCACAACACTGAAGTAAAACAAGGGTCTTAAATTACCATACAAGCTAATTAAAGAGTCTGAATAATATTTAACACAAACCCATCAATGTATTTATATTGCTGGTGTTTCAGAACATGTGTAAAAGCTTTCAGGAACAGGATACTAAGTTTAGGTTCACAAATCTAATTTACCTGTTCATCTAAGTACCACCATTACAAAAGCCCGGTATATCTCATAATTTCAGTTTTGAGACATTACTTCAGAATTTATTTTCCAGTAGGCTTGGAGCTGGTTCAAATTGAATTATTTCCTCTGATTTTGAAAGGAATTGTATGGATTGAAGAAATTAGCTTACAAAAAGAGTGTTTGTCATGCAGATTTCAGAGAATTCAACATAAAAGCATCTGAAAAGACCTGTAATCCAGCAGAGACAATGACTAAGAACAATAAAAGGGCAAGATCTACTTAGTGAAATATTGTGAAGCAAGTCAATAAATTTTAGTTTTATTCACAAGAATAACTATGTATATACAGCTAAAGCTTACCAAAAGCATGCAAACTTTGATACCTTCTGAGCATGTTAACTGAACTGCAGCCACCACTGTTCCCTGTGAATGCTGAGATCTGTTTTCCAACTGATGCTTCCTGGAATATTTGAACAATTTTGCTCAACACAGCCTCTTTCTTGAGTCTTCCTACTCAATGAATGCAAAGAAATGCTTCCTTGCATGCACAAACAGATTCAAAATACTAAGTCAACCTCAAACTTAATTCCATGAAGGGGCATCCAAAACAAGCACCAGTAATTCTCAAGACTACTCATCAAAGAATGAGCAGCACTTGGCATAAGAATTAATGGCAAATCAAAATCATACAGCTGACCAACACAGTTTTAGGGCAGCCACACTGACATGTCTCTCCTCCTTATCTGCACACTTTCTATGTATTTCATGTCTGTTTAATCTTGGAAACACACTGATCAGCAAGAACACAGCACCATTTCTAGCCTTAAAAGCCATTATTTGTAATGTAGTAGACAGTAAATTTTATCTACAACTCAAGCAGCAAGATGCTCCTTAAGGATGTCCTTTATTATAAATGGAATAGAAAGGTGAAACAAGACAGAAAAACAAAGGACCCACAATAAATGCTTATCTATTACTTTATCCAAACACATGTCTATTTCCAGAAAATAGGCAACACTAGGCCACAGAAACAGACCTGAAAGATAGCTACGTGGAAAAAGAGTACAGCAACAGTAGAGAAACACTATGCCAGAGATATGAAAACAGGAAAAGGACATGTAAAATATTGAAAAATAACTAGAAAATGGCATTAATACAGCATGAAAAGAGGTCAAGTTGTCATTTAATGGATCTTAACTTTAAAAAATGCAACACTTAATAGGAAAAACAAATACTGAATGGCTCAATCAGAAACAGACCCAGGAAGAGCAAATTTATTTAGATGTCAAGCCTGGGCAATAGAACACAGGCCATTGGTGTCAGTGGGTCAAGGCACACATTTCAAAAATATGGCTTACTCCTGCTCCACACAGAGCAATGAAGATTAACTGAGGATTCAAATCTATGAAGTCCCTAGTTTTTGCTTGCATTAAAAAAAAAAAAACCAAACAAAACTACTGATATACACAAATAGCACACAATCTTCTAAATTTGTCAAGTTACGAAAAATTGGATGTACAGCCAATCATATATAAACCAAGCAAATGTGAACAAGCACTAGAGACTGGAAAGAACAGAAATCTCAAGAGCAAGAATTTTCCAATATTTATTTATCTTAGCTATTCACAACTGTTATCCCTGTTGCTACTTATGCCTATTACCTGCCATTCTACCAAAAGGTATCTCAGAGAAGAGCTTGGCTTTGTCTTCTCTTTATTTTCCCACTAATTAGTTGAACACAGCAGTAACCTGTCCCTTCAGCCTTCTCTTGCACACACCCCTCTTTCTCAGCTTTTCCTTTTTTGTTATGTGTTCAATCACCCTGGTCTTACACTGCCAAAATATCATATCTTCATTAGGATGAAGTCTAACCAAAACCAGACTAAACACTATAGATGTGTTCTCCCAGTATAAGACAGCACAGAACAATCACTTTCTTTAAACTGCTGGCTACCACCTTGCTTCTTTCAGTACAGTATGCTCCTTACATTCATCCTGCTAGGGTGCACTAATCATATTTAACTTGCTCTTCATCAGGACTAGGCAAAGCTGTCTTCTATCCCATTAGTGCCCAGATTGTACTATTCCCAAATATTCTGGAAACAAAGACACTTTTAAACTAACAATATGGACTTTTAGCATTATTCTTCAGTAGTGCTTCTTCTTAACTGGTTGGGATTTAAAAATTTTTATTTTAAACTAGCATTTAATCTACACTCATATATGTATAACCCATGAACAAGTAGTTCTGTATGGGTAACTGGTGTGCACCATGCCTAATGACACACCACTTCTCAGTGCCTGACTGAACAAATCTTTTTGACTAATGCTTCTAAAATACTTTATTTTTGCATATGCTTAGAAAGAGGAAAAACTGTCATGCCAAAGTCTGTAAATGAACAAGTTTGCAGACGGACCATTTTATTTGCCTTTAGCATAACTAACATCAGCTAATAGCTTCAACCAGATTTTTCATCCTTGAGAAATAATCAAGTATTGGCTAACAACGTAGTATTTTGGGCCTGGTATGGACAAGCATCTTCAAGACAATTTAGTTGCAGTGATTAATATGCAATGCATCAAGTAATTCAGAACAAAGAAAACTGAATTTAAAAGAGCAAGGGAAACCCATGCAGATTAAGACCAAGTAAACAGACAATGAAGCTACAGTGTAACAAAGGAAAGAAAAAACTTATCACCACAAACAAAACGTGATAGAAAAAGAAGTGTGAGAAAATCAGAGGAAAAAAACAGCCGCAAAACCGTTCAAGTTCTATATGGGATAAGGCTGATGGGAAACGGAATCCAAGGCAAGAATAGATCTGGTCAACAAGGCAAGTATGATAGGTTTTCACAGCTGCACTGGCTGGCA